CTTCAACTTTTCATGAAAAAGGTTTTTTTCCTAGATTTTAAGGTGTAGCACGCACCGTACATGACAGGCTTCTTTCTTTGGAGCTCGGGTGGATGTTTCCTCAACATTTCGGGTCTTTAGCTCATTTAAAGTGTGGTGCGATGTTTAAAAACTTTCTCCTGCAAATAAACCCACAGAAAAAAAGTCGCATATGCTTAAATCTGGCGAGTGGGCTGACCATCCCAAGTCACCTCTCAAAGACACGAGTCGACCAGGAAACATTTGTCCCAGTTTTGCTATAGAAATCCGAGCTGGGTGCGCTTCAGCCTTATCTTGTTGGAACCACAGATCTCTAAATTAGTTTTGTCACTCAATTGTTGCAACAATAATACAATAATTGTGACTCAAAACAGTTTTGCAGCATTGAAACATAACGATCAGCTTCGACAGTTACTGTTCGAACATTCTCTTGAAAAAAATAAGGTCCATAGATTTCAAATTATGACACCGCACACCACACAGTCTCTCATGAAGTTGCATTGGGTTACTGCCAGCCCAATACCAAAGATTCTGTTTGTTGACAGCCCCAGAGAGGTGAAAGTGGGCCTCGTCGCTCTTGAGAAAAGTTGATGTTTCGGGGATTCGTTTAAGCATTCCTTAACAACGATTTACACGGTTGAGGTAATCATCAGGAATCAGTTCTCAAACAACCATGATTTCATAGGGATGGAATGACAGTTCTTCATGCAAAATATTAACAATGAGTATTTTGATAATATATAGTAGAAAACACCAACTTTATCACTCCCTAATCAAATTTGCAGCATAAAAATAACACATGTTGCAATTACAGCATATCAACCTATTTTCATTACAATGCAAAATAAGTCTATAACGCATAGGTGGCTGTGAAAAATAAAAGCCATGACAATTGTTTTTATTAATCACAGCTGTCAGAATACGTTTAAAATAGTTTTGGGTAGTTAAGGTTTTCAAAATAGGTAGAGGAAAGGTTATTAGTGAGAAAATTCGGTTACTGATAATTAAATTTTTTTATTCTGGGAAATCAAACTCAGAAATTGCAACTTTGTTAGACTGATCGCGGTACAGTGTGAGAAATATTTTTAGAAGATATAGGTAAGCCACGATATGTGAAAAAAAGTAATATCACAAATGCGGACAGAAGAGCTTTAAGAAGAATAATCGTGAAAGACAGGCATGCCAATTATTTACAATTAAGTGCTCTGTGGAGTGACGCTGTTGGAAGGAGAATTTCGAGGTCCACAACTCATAGAGAGGCCCACAAACTGGGATTTAGCACTTGCAATGTAAATTTTCTTATAAGAAAAAAGTGAAGTAAAAACCCTAAAGTTGCACAACTTGTTTATAGGCCAGTAAAGCCACTATTAACTCCACTGCAAAAGAAAAATCGGCTTAGATGGGCTAAAGAATATAGACAATGGACACCTCATCAATAATGTGCAATACAATGGAGTGATGAGGCCCGATTCGAAGTTTGTGTTGGTGACAGTCGCAGTAGAGTTATTCGCAAAAAAATGTAGCATTCCATGATGACTGTCTGGAGAAAAGAGAAATTTCCAGCATCCATTATGGTCTGGGGCAGTATGTCATCAAAAGGAGTAGGAAAACTTCATTTTATTGATGGAAATGTGGATACAAACAAATATTTGGCAATTTTAGAAGAATCGCTTTTATCAGTGATGGAATAATGTTTGACATCCGGCCAAGATTTTGTGTTTCAGCAAGATGCTGTAGCGTGCCATACTTCAAAAAAGGCTATAAAATGGATGGAAGAAAATAATGTACCACTCTTGACATGGGTTTCTAGCAGTCCAGATCTGTCACCTATTGAAACTTTGTGGCACGAGATGAAAAAGGTTCTACGACAACATCCTGCTCGTACAATCACCGAACTGAGACAAAAGCTTCAAGAAATATGGGATTGTTTTACACCAAATTTTTGCCAAAACTTGGTTAACACTATGCCCCAAGGAATTTCAGCCGTAATAAAAAATAAAGGTGATGTTACCCAATGGTAATCTTTCAATTGTTGCTTTGTTAACTTCGCGCATTTATTCGCACATGTTTATTTGTTCAGATGTTCTATTAGTTATAGGTCTAAGTGATTTCAAATATGTATTTTTTACGACTAGAGTGTATCTAAAATGTTTTTGAGAAAATAAATTGTTTTAGAATTAAATAGTTTTGTCATGGTTAGTTTATAAAGGCATATTTTGGTACAAATCTTGAAGTGGGCCAACTGAAGTGGGAAGGAGCTCGTATACTTTGATCCCTGAAAAACTCATTAACGCACTAATAGAAATTTACATAAAAGAAAATTCATCGATGTCCCACGACGTATCGCACGCTGATAACATAATATGGATTTATTTATTGGGTCCGCTGTATTCTAGCGGCGCGTACGATTGTAGAGCCAGCTTTTGGAGCTACCTTCACATGCATTACGTAGTAACCGTAGCCCTAGCCAATTTTTTTACTTTGATCGCTTTATCACTTTATTATTTATAACAGAAAGCAGAGCTAGTAATCTGTAGATGTTGAATCCAAATTTGGGACGAGCTCGACATTTACAGTTTTCTAGGAAAGTGCCGGATTCGTAAGATATCTGGAAGTACGTGAAAAAAATGGAGAAAGCTCCGCTGCACGTCTTTTCAAATCAGGTCCGGGCCAGGAGCTTTGTTGATGTCGAATGGCACAGTTCTTAACGCATTTTCCAAGATTAAGAAACCCAAATTGCCGTGTGGGGGGTTAAGTTTGAGCGAAAAATAACACTACAAATATTTTGTTCGAATTGATTTATTAGATAGCATTCATACAACTTGATTTTCTTTGTTATTGCTTATGTCTAAACATAGTAGTTATATCAAGTGAAGACATTTGTGAAATGGTCGGCACATTGACCTTGCATTCTGCATTATAGTACGAGAGCCGACCGCAAATTTGTGGTTACATCATCGCGTATACTGATGTAATATGATAAAAACTAGAGAAATTCTAAATAATTTAATGATAAACAGCAATCTTGGCAAGTTTTGACTAGTGTTCAATATAATATGCCAGTACAGGAGGCGGTGTTGCCAAACTGACGTAAAATACTTGGAAGACGCCACATTTATGCTGGGATGAATGGAGTTCAGTTATTTTCGCAGTTTTTGGTGCTTACGTCAAAAAGTCATACAAAACAAGTAAACATACCGTCTTAAGGCCAGGCTGTCTAGATAACTAGAAACCATGTTAAATACGTTTACGATTGATCAAATAAGCAGTTTGAGGCTGGAAAAATGAATTACAAGCTCGCGTTGTTCTTTTGTGACTAAACAAAATCACGTAATATTCCGCGTAGGGCCGTAAAAGTTAAATAGCTATGCGACATCTTGCAGATTTTGAGAATAACTTTTGTTTTACATGACTCGGAGAGCATTCGCGAGAAGTGTGATTTATAACTTTATTCAATGGAAAATATGCTTCGTATGATAAATATCAGCACCATGTATAAACGTCAAAAACAAAAGTAATTTTGAACAAAAGATGCTTTCACCAGAAGTAATTTCACCCAAAAAGGATTATTATCTTATCTATCTGGCATAGCTTCCCGTTTATATCGCTGACCAAATAAGAATCGCACGTGTTTTGACGCCATCAGCTATTTTGTGTACGACATTTTCTCTTCTTCTCTTGGTACACTCATTCTTTGGTAGAACTATGAAGTACAATGGTTATTGGTGAAAAACAGTGTTGTTGATTTAAAAAATTGAACAAGGAAACCCTTACAGCTAATGTTGTTTTATAATGAGTATAACTTAATTGGAATTTTTTTTTAAATAATCAGCTTAATACGACTAATTGACTATTCATGATGAACTTTCTTTCGTATCACTTACCTAGGTAGTAAATATTATTCAGAAAAAGGATACCACCTTAAACAGTGGGAGCAGGCCTTAATTATATGTCCGTAAAATCTCAAATCGTGAAACATCTTATAACTATAAGCTTGTTACCAGTGCTTTCAAACATTCTAGAAAAAAAAATCATGCAGAAACAATATGGAATATAGATCATACAGTAAAATAAAGCATCAAATAGATCTAAATCAAGACAATCACGCTAAGAAAATGCCGTAAATGCACGATGCAAATGTTCTATATATGCCCTTACTTATTGTGGTCGGACCGGCGACTGACCGCTTTTGTTTCACGTCAAATTCCGTTGCGCCGTTTGAACTGTAGCCCGTGAAATAGATATTTCAAAGTTATTTTATGGGATACAAAGAAGGTTATGTGCTATTTCAGACAATAATATATATCTCTGTAGCAAATTTCATCCAGATACATTCATCCATTTTGGCGTGGTTGAGTATAATGAACATACACACTTTCTCATTTATAATATCGATAAGTAGGAATGAAAGGAAGAAAGGTGGATGTAAACAGTGTTGCCGGACCTAAAAACATGAAATCGGTAGTGTCGTTGAAATTCTGTAGATTCAAGGTCAAAATAATGTTCAATTTAAAACCAGCTTAGGTTTCCTTATTGCTTGTCCTGTGATAAAAGGAATACAGGGAAATCGGAGTAAGAAATGCGCGTACATAATAATTATAGCCAACCCAAATCTACGTCCCTTTTGTGCCCGACTACATAACTGTTCGTAGTTTTTTTTCGGTAAAATCTGCAAATGTTTGAATTATTTTAAAAAATCGTGGAAAATGGGGACCATTTCGGTAAATAAGGTCCCGACGTTCCGGTAAAAGTAACGAAAAATTTGTAGGTTCGGCAACACTGAATGTAAATGACCGTGACGCGTGATATTGACAGCTGACTACACCAGGTGTGTTCGATACATAGAATATATGCGTGCGTTGGATGAAACAGTTTGGGTCCCGTCAAGATATCGGCAAGAATTTTAATTACTATAAGATGTACCATTGAATGATTAAACATCAGACTTTGTTTTGTGATAGGATAAATGAAACAAAACAATGCACAGTTTCTAAATTTTATTTAATTATATAACAAATATTACATCACAATACCATTTATTAACAATATAAAAATTACATTTGAGCACATATTTTTTATTACTGAATACGTCTCTCTTAATTCTAGTTGTGGAATTCATCGATATGACAGCAAAACGACCTAAAAACCAAGACGCCCCAACGCCTATGTCTCAAGGTTGTCAAATATAAGAACATCTCATCTAAACCGATCAAGAAATTTTAGTAGAAAAGTAAAATTTAAAATTTCCACGAAATCACCCAATCTAACCTTGCTAACAGCATTTAAAACTTGGTCTAAAAGATGGTCTACACAGACTGTATTTTGTGGTTGATTCGTTTTTGGAAATACGTAAGGTGGGCCAAAATATTGCTAGGAATGCTAGCAAATATAAAATACATTAATTTTCATATCAAAGAAACAACACCATTGATATTAATCTAAGGACACTGTATTTTACAAAAGACTATTTGGTGATGTTTTAGATAAAAACACTAGCTTCAATCGTTGCATACATTCTCCATAATGTGAATATATGTTTATGACATTATCGAAACACCTTGCTATATAAACGTATAAAAATGATACAAAAAAGAACAAATAATTTAAATCTAATCCTAAAACGTACTTCTATGATTGTTTAAGGCAAGTTTGAACCATGACGGCCTTTTTTGATCATAAATGTTGCAAGTACATCTCAGGTATACTTTGGGCCAACCAATAGAGAGACTTTTCTGACAAAAATACTCAGAATTCGCTCGGAAAATCACTTATGCAATTGTTTGAAAAGATTTACATACAGTGCTTTTCAAAAAGGTTCTGCCATTATATTTTTTGGACCAGTCAGTTCGGGATGAAGAATTTGACGCATAAATATTGTACTTTAGCGTAAAAGTGCCAGATTAAAACTTCAAGATCGCAGCTAGGCATCCTTATGAGTAATTTGTAATACTAGACTACTAGAGTATAAGTTTACGATCGGAATGACGGACCACCGGACTGTCATATTTGAACGTCTTTATATAGCGAATCGCTCATAACTCGATATATGTTTTAATCTGTTTATTGTACCACGTTCCGGCAACCACTTAAACAAAGCCAACGTGGTGGCCGGAACAGCGCACAATAAAGAGATATCAAAATACATATGTGGTTTGATTTGATTAGACAATCTAGTGTTGAAGTATACAGGGTGTTAGGGAAATAATAGTCGTAACTTAAAGAGGTGATTCCTTGCATTATTCTAAGCAAAATCACCTCATAAAGTTACCAATATTATTTCCCTAACACCCTGTATATACATGAATCTGAATTTGCAATAAAATATGGGACAGTCCACTTGACGAAGTTGACAGATTTGGACATATTTAAATACATACATACCATGATACGTCTTAGTTCGATGTTTTAAAGGTAGTGACTTTATACAACAGGATTCTGAAGTAAAAATGGTGAAGCATAGCTCAACTGTCATCTTGAAATTTACACTTTAACGCTAAAATCAAGGACTCATTCATCAATTCTATTATCTCGATTTCAACTTGATCCTAGCCTGGCAGACATTCGTTGTTATCGATGAACATAGGTCAAAGGTCCATTTAAACTTTCTTTACCGTCTTAGGCATAAAGAACCCGCGGGCAGAAAAGTAGGACGGGAAAACGCATTAATTGAATAACGTATTTTACCTGAAGATGGTTAACCACATACTGTATTCCAGCACCCAAGAAGATATCTGAAAACTCCTAGTGCCATCTATGCTACAGTAGCGGAAAGCGGAGCACAAAAATAAATGTAGAAATCTAGTTTGAAAAGAATTAGATTGATCTTGAATTTCGGCTTTAAGTATAATACGATAATCAATGTTATTGTACATATATGATTGCACCACCGTTTTCTCGTCACTATTTCTTCCTCCTTCTATCGATTGGCAGAATGCTACTAAAATACGCGAAACTGTCTTTTATACATATCAACAACCCGTTTTAGTTGTTTCAATCAGCCCTTTTTGAACTTGAGCACAGCAAAACTGATCGATAAGAACAACACAATCCACACGATCGTCGAGATGAATCCGTTGTACACGTCCTCATGGTCTAGACCCCAGCCTCTGGTCATGATGCAACGAAGTGACGTGGTGGCCAAAGTTAGGGGCAGGAAGGTGGATATGTAACGGAGCACCGTGGGCATGCCTTCAATCGGCCAGATTACACCTGAAACAACGAAAAAGCGTTTTATACAGGGAAATGCGTCAAACTGGACCCATCCTTCCCTACAGTGGGCTGCTGGTCACACTGACTCTGTATTATCTGATATTGAAATATTGGCAAGCGTAAATAGTAACTCATATCATAAAAAGCCGTGTTGGAGCGCACAGATCGCAAGTTTTTTCAGAAATGGTAAAGCTATTGATACTTCTGGGAAAGAAGATGACTGGGAAGACAGCAAGGAGCAGGAAAGACAGATGTACCTATATCTGCTATTTTTGACGCTAGAGAACTAGAAAGTATGGTTCTGTATGGATGCGTCTGGTTTGGGGTACTCTATTTACTAGTATGACAAAAAATTTGGAAATCGTTGGAAGAAAAACTCAAAATTTTGTCCCTTCCGAAAGTTTTGTTTGACTAGTCCCTAAAAACAACAGAATGCTGCAAGACGTACTGTAACGCCCTCGTAACTGTAACCATGAATGAGGAAGTGATACCCTTGCTTAGGCAACTGGAGTTACGCGGTTGTGTGAGAATGATGACAGTCAAGCTTCTCTGGAGACGAGATCTAGAGGGTTCCGTTGCCTTCGGGAGCCTTCCAGAGACAACAGTCGGCATCTAGGCGAAGCGCGCGAACGTTCTAGAGCTCGTTGAATTCAAAATAGGTACGCTGACACTTCCAACAGGGACACTGAGGCAGTCTACGGACAATGTTGAAGGAGTCAACACGATAGTCCAGTCGATATAGTTCGGATTTTCCTTTACACGACATGTAGATCTTGAGAGAATAAGCGGATTTTCTCAGTATCATACACACCAATGTCTTAAGAGAACCGAGATATTGGGCTCCGCAAACTCAATCAAACCTGAACCAAACCGAAGCCGGTCCTATCCCTCGATCACGTCCACAGCGCTAGCGCCAGCGTACTGCTACACGACGCACGACTACGATGTAAAAACGCTGGTATGCAACCCAACCTAGACTTTTTACAGAACATTTTACCAACCCTGCTAGAGTGTAAGTAGAGTGTGTAAGTGCCTTTGAGTGTAAGACAATCAATGTGGACTTAATGGACCCGTAGCATAGCCTCCGCGATCTCCAGAGTTAACACCGTGTGACTTTCTTCTTTGGAGCGAAATGAAACGGTGTACGAAACATGGTTGACGAATTACGTCTGATAATTGAGCAAGCTGCTGCATTCATTCGGGGAAGGGACTCCACTCTAAAAGCCTGCACCGATGTCTGGCTACGTGTTTTTGAATACAACGGCGACAACTTCGAACAGCACTTATAAAATACGTTCACCAAGAAAAAGTGACTCCGACGTCATACTTTTGATCTCTTTTTTGTTATTGTTGTTACATGATTGTGCTCCTCGTATTTTACGACGGAGCCGTACTTGGAATTTCAATTCAACTGAACAGCGAGCACTTTTTATTTATTTTTTTACTTGTTCGCTCACGTTTCACCACACATTAGCTTTGTTATATCAAGGGTAGTTGTGTCTGAAAAGGAAAAGCCCAACTTTGTGGACACCCTGTATATATATATATATATCAAATGCAGGTACTGTAATAAATTAGACTTTAAATAGTGAGAACGGTGTTTTCGTTACGGTATAAACATAGAGCTTACTAACAATCCAAGCTATTCTATTTTCTGCTTATAGCCTCGCCTCCGCTGAATCAGTTTCCAAAAATTAAGTAGCATTAAATAAGGGTCGGTACTCGTATACGTGTTTTGCTGCCCCACGTTAAGTATGCTTATTTTCACGCAGGCATGCATCTTCTGGTGGAACATGTTGATCAATGGTTAATCACAACATCTCAAGGTCTTTACTTACCGCTGAGCAATAGAGTAGGGTAGAAACTTCCTAAAGCCAACTGAATAGCGTTACGTTCTAATTCACAGATGGCTGAAATGACGAATCCGAAGCACATTCCGCACAATCCTTGCAGAATGGTCAGGATTATGACGAGGATGATGTCACCCTGACACTGCACCTTGAACACTAAGATCATGAAAATCAGCACCAAGGTAGTTTGGCCGCACATCACTACGAATTGTGTCACTACGTGAGAGAAGAGGATCTCGCCTGGTGATACACCTGTAAAGAAAAAAGGAAGATATCAGTATGGGAGTTTCTTCGCCATCTAGTGGGCGCCGCTAATTCTCGAAATCGACGTTTTTCGCAAACGTCAAGAAGGACCTCTGCCATTGATTAACGTATGCCTTAAGGCACCCAACCACGTACTGTATTTCGGTGTTCAAAATGGGATCTGAAAGATAGTAGCGCTATCTATGAAACAGTTTTGCTACAGTATCATTGATCGCGCTAGGATCTTCAATCCCTTTCTGGCCTCTCTAACGACTATTTCAATTGGTTGTATTCAGGGATTGGAGATGGTAGCGTTATCTATGGGAGAGTAGCAGAACCAAACAGTCTAACTTTTTTCAAAGTAGATTTTTATATTTTGTATCTGCTACTATCTTATAGATAGCACTAGTTTCTTTCACACCACATTTGGAGGCCCGAATATAGTATTAGTTGCCCATTAGAATATATTAATTATGCTCTGGTTTCAGCCACAAATCCTGGTGGTCCATCATATTTGCACATTTATCATAATTATAGGACAATATTGGGCACTTGGCAAATCATGAAAAAAATTCGCTGTGGACAAACTGTTTCCAGGCTATTATAAGAAATTTCGTTAGCAATGTTTCCCAAAGGTTGACCGTTTTCGATTTATATGTAATTTAAAGTCTGAAAGATCCAAAACATTTTAATTATCAGTGCTTAAGAAAACGGCTAATAATTATTATATGTGCAATACGAAGAATAGTTAGGCTTAGTCTATCTTAAACGATAGTTATTTAATTGTTTATAGCGCGTTATTACCAATTACCATGCTTTAAAATGAACCATACCCAAAATAATCTTTGAGGTCTTATACCGGAAGGTTTAACCCTTTATTTGGATACTTGTCAACCTTGGATATATTAATTTTTAACTGAGTTTTTCGGCACTGAAGATAATGATTTATAATGTTTTGAGATATCGATCGGAAACGGTCATCGTTAACAAAGTAACGAAGGATCGTCTTTGTCCAGAATTATTGAAAAACAAAAAAAAAAACTGGCATGATTGAAAAAAACTCTTATAATTTGTGCAAAAAACTGCTGAAATGAGTGTGCACTGGATTACCGCACGGCAACCCCTTGATTCATGTGAAGAAACATTCAACAGACATGGTTATGAAAAAATCTAGTCGGAAAATTTCTCAAAAAAGTTTCATATGTTAACTTTGAACGTGCATTTATTTTCCTGCTACATAGCTTGGGCACCTGCAAAAGGGTACCAAGGGGGCTGCGCCCTCCCATGACTCTGGAAAATTTACTTATTTAGTATGATTTTGTGTTCAATTTTGAAGATTTGGCCTCTGCTGAGAAAACTTGATATCACATAGAGTCTTAGGAGCAGGTACACTCAAAAAGTTATCTTTCACCCTGAGAATAATTTCTGCCGGCGCTCCTGCTACATAATTTAGAGCACCTATTTCCAATAACCAGTACCATTCTGTGTCCACAAAAAGCTGATCTAAACCATCTATTTGGCAAAGTAAAGATCCGCAGCACAGATATTTTATTTAGGATGTAGTCAAACGGGCATTCGAGTGTACTCAAAAAATTTGGTAGTGTATAATCTCAGTTCTTCATACAACTGAAAAACTTCAACAGCGTTTCTCTTTTTTTATTTATTTCGTGTACACCATCTCGAATGTTCAACACCTCCCATGTCAGGATCTGACTGTCTAGTAAAAATACCAAATCGTCGCCTATAGTTTGGGACTGATAATACGTCGAACCAGGACAAGAGCTCGCGTGTCACTGTGGACACCACACGCCGCCGCTCGTGGCGCCCGCCTTAGGCACTAGTCACCGCGGATTCAGTATGGACGCACACAAGTTCCGGTGACGTGCGTTCGCTTGACGCTCATTTTGGAAATACACTGAATCAATATAATTCATAAGGATACGCCTGCCAGAAAATGTATGCACGTATGACTCCAGTAGACGTAGATTATCTCAATACGTGTGTCGATCAGTGGCCAACGCACGAATTGAAATTCTAGACGTTTCCATTCTGTTCACTTGGCAGTTGTCTTTCAGTGCGCTTAGTCGACATACTTGGTGGGTCTTTAGAAAAATTGCTTTAAAAAGTGGATTACTATTTGGGACTTGAAGTTATATACAGGGTGGCGCATCGAAAACGAAACAGACGCATTTACTGGCAGCTCAGTTATTTTTGAAAAACGCCCAGACCCGTCGATTTTGTTTTCGAGGGGGACACAAGTTTGGCAAAAAATCACGTTAGCACGCGCAGTCCCCTAAGCGGGAATGACACCACCCCCAAAATCTTAAATGGAAAGGGGGGTCGAGTGACACCTTATTTTAAAGGTCTTTCAATTCCCTTTATAATGATATAAAATTAATGTACTTCAGTTCAGTAGTTTTGAAGATTTATTGATTTAAAACTTAAATAAGAGTAATACGTCATTATTAGTGGAGATCAATACATTTGGCAGCAAAGTAATTCCAAAATTAAGAATAAACTGACCCGTTAGGCAAGTAAATGTTGAAAATGGCCACCATGACTATCCATGCAATAATAAAGATTTTGCTCAAGACGTTGCCGCACGTTTTGCAATATTTGAGGAGTAATTTGAAGGCACTCATTCACAATTCTTTGTTGCAGGTCTTCTAGTGATGTTGGCTGAGTAGCACAGAATTCGCTTTTTAAATGATCCCACATAAAGAAATCCAAAGGTGATAAATCTGGCGATCTTGGGGGCCATTCAATGGCACCTCTTCTACCAATCCATCGATCTGGAAACGTCTTATCTAAATATTGTCGAACACGTAATGCGTAATGTGGTGGGGCACCAATCCTGTTGGCACATCAACATGTACCGCCGATCATTCTGATTTTCAAATTATGGCTGTTAATGCAGGATCTATGGCGTCTTCCAGTAATTCCAAATACATTTCACCGATCAAATTTCCAGGTAAGAAAAAAGGACCAACTAAATGATCGCCAAAAATACCAGCCCAAACATTTAATTTTTGTGGCTGCTGTGTATGGACCTCATGATAAATTCTGGGATTAGAATCGGACCAATATCGGCAGTTATGATGATTTACTATGCCATTTAAGAAAAAGGAACATTCGTCGGAAAAGCAAGTGTTGAATATAAAATGTTCATCGTTTATAATTCGTTCACTCATATCTTCACGAAATTGTAATCGCCGATCAAAATCGTCTTCATTAAGTTCTTGTACCAGGTGAATTTTATACGGATGAAAACTATGACCCTTTAGAATCCGTTGGACAGTACGTCGACTAACACCACACACAGTCTCCAATTTGCGGGTACTTAACGTAGGATCTACATAAACTTGCCCTAAAACCCCCACTTCTATTGCTTCGTTCCTTATGGGATTTTCAATGTTGCGTTTTTTATTGGCGACTGACCCAGTTTCCCGAAATTTAGCTACAAGTTCTAGAACATATTTTCGATGCACGTTACTGTTATCATGTCGCTCATTAAATATTTCTGCTGTTCTATTAGCGCACTGATTATTTCCGAAAAATATTTCGATAATTTCAATTCTGTATGCTGTGGAGTGGAATATACCATGGTTAATTTATGTAATAAAGAGTTACAAGTTATTTTAGCAACAAAGTTTGGTCCAATCAATCGCAAACTATGCACTAAATTCCTATTTAAAATAAGTACGAGGTATTTCCTTATCTTTCTTCAAGAAATAACTTTTTTGACACAAAAAACGCTTCAATAGCTATTTTCAACAACAAAATGATAAACAAACCATGGGCGTAGTGAAGAAAAGCATTTACTTATTAAGTAAATTCTTTTAGTCAAATTTCTTCTGAAAGTAGTACAAACTAATCTGATGTACCTATTAAAGTCTACTTTAAGCTTTGAATCAATAAATCCTCAAAACTACTGAACTGATGCTCATGTATTTTACATCATTATAAAGAGAATTGAAAGACCTTTAAAATAAGGTATCACTCGACCCCCCTTTCGATTTAAGATTTTAGAAAGGTGTCACCCCCGCCCAGGGGGCTGCACGTGTTAACGTGATTTTTTGCCAAACTTGTGTCCCCCTCTAAAACAAAATCGACGGATCTGAGCGTTTTTCCAAGAAACAACTGAGCTGCCCGTAAATGCGTCTGTTTCGTTTTCGATGCGCCACCCTGTATATATTATAAGACAGCAAGAAGATGTCATATTTTTTGCAAATCCGATGATACCGAAGAAGAAAGAAAATATTAGGAAGTTTTGTTCCAAATGCTTGATTTATAATTAGCGATCACCTCGGCGATCACAATAAAGACATCATACTATTCTGTCATTCAACGGTTTTATTGACATTAGATAGTTGAGAAAAAATCGGTTCATTATTTGGAGGCGCTGGAACAGAGTGCAAGCAATGAACTCGTAGGAAGTCTATTCCTTAGTCTATCCGAGTGAACTCAATATGCCTTCCTTCTACGTCGTTTCATTCTTCCGTAAGCCCAAATAGCTTCGTGCACATCCATTCTTGTTGACTAAACACAATAAACTGACGCTCGATTACCTAGTCCACTCTATAACTCTAGATAAAATTTGTACGCGTGCTTTCTGAAAACTTATTTGAACTAAGCCTAAAAGTTAGATCTTTTAGTTCGTATTGATATTGGTCCACCAATTCGGCGTACGGAGTATTTCATGTGTCAAACAACGATAATTAAATATTAATGCTTAAAAATGAACTAAAGCTTCAAAATTTTTCTCGGCATCGACAACCTCAAAGTTATTTAACTGTTGATCGCATTTTTAGGCATTGTAAATAGCAATGTTTAGGGTTTCGCAGACCTAAAGAATTGCTTATACTTCAAAAACGGTTATCTTTAGAAAAAAAATTATCGAGGACGTATTCGTTCAGTAACGTCCAAAAAAAGCGTTGTGTAATATGTATAAAAAAATGTTCAAGCAAACTTGCAACCCCTCATAGATATTAAGGGATATCCAAAAAACGTGATTACGAAAAACAAATGAATCAAATATTTCTCCTCCGACTGTGATGGTTTCGCCTTGGTTATACTTGTATGAAAACAAGTCAAAATCACAAAAAATGTCAAAAAACTCACCCGCTACGAAGGATCTGTCCAATAGGCCCTCCATTCTTTCGATGATAAGAGCAGAGGAGGTTAGAGCGACAGCCAAAAAGAACACAATTCTGCAAAAAACACAAACATCAGCACACCGTGCTCTTATTCAAAACCGCATTATTATACTGAGAATTTATCAAAGTGTGCAACTGGTAGCACCGTTGAAAAGTGGCTAGGTATCAATTTTTATTATGGTACATATTAATTTTGTAACATGAAGTTACATCCATGTATCTTCTAAGAAATAAGAAAATTTGAAATAGGTGTCAAAACATCTGTGAGTGGACCGAACACCACTATCCATAAAGTTTCAACCCTCCACCGGAAACTTGATCCTGAGAATGGAAGAAGCGCCGCTTAGGGCACATAAACCCATAAAAAGGTGCCCATAGAACGTTAAACATTTCTTCGATCAGAGATGTAATAAAATTAATAATTCAACTATAATCATAGAGATTCAAAACATCAAGTAAATCACAGCCGAAAGAGGTTTTTTGGTAGAGTTTTCCTCGGATAATAATGAAACTATCTCAATCTGTTAATCTTACATGACTTATTTAATTTATATCTCTAGTTCTTCTACCATTTTCGATGAGTTAATTCTTTGAATGTTCAATTAAGTACGACGAGAATCAGTTCAGTTTTATCCTTCATATTTACTCATTTAGCTGACAGAGTAACCTAACTAAGCAATCCAGTTTTTTTCTAATGTCATCTTTTCTTTTTATCTTGAGTGTTAATAAATGGCTATTTTTTAACTCTCGATAATCAGTTAACCCAAACCGAGTGTCAGACTTTTAGTTGAGCGTTAAGTTATTTTCGGGATGTCCGTTCGAATGCCGGTCCATGTGGGTGAAAATACTGACTGACACCGTAATTATCGAATTTCATCGTGACCGTCATAGCTAATTAATTAATGTTCGGGTGTCCAGTGGGAAAGTTCACATTTCAAATTTGAATTACGCGGTAACTGTATACGCGAGGAAGTGGAGAGAGGTTTTGATCGACGCGTTCGGTTAAATAGTCGGCGTTCTGTTCGGAAGCATTCCGCTGCTTTGGAAATCCTTAGGTCAACACTGCATGGCATAAAGAAGAAAAAAAAAATGGGTTTTCATCCTTATAAAATCCAATCAGTCCATGCTCTAATTCTAAAGGAACGTGATTACGTATTATGGAAATCTTGTGCTGAACGGATACTGAATCTTTTTCCTGCCCAGCGCAGACTCGAGAGCGTTGTTTTCAGTGACTAGGCCCATTTTCACTTAGACGGTTATGTGAACAAGCAAAATTGCAGATATTGGGCACCGACGAACTCAAAAGAGAAACATGAACAACAGCTACATAGTCCAAATGTGATTGTTTGGTGTGCCATATCATCTAGCGGTATTATTGGGCCGTATTTCTTTGAAGATGAAAACGGTCATGCATTGAACGTCAATTTAGAGCGATACAAGGACATGATTGACACGTGTTTTGCTCCTATCGTAAGATACAGAACGTCGATTTAATAGAAACACACGGTTTCAACAGGATGGGGCAACTGCCCATACTTCCAGAGAATCGATGGACACGGTGAAAGCACTTTTTCCTCGAAAAGTATCAAAGTTTGGAGACATTCACTGGCCTCCTAGGTCACCCGACCTCACGCCATGTGATTATTTTTTTTGGGGTTATATAAAGTCAAAAGTGTATTCCAATAATCCACGAACACTGGACGAGCTTAAAGGCAACATTCGACGAGAAATAAATAACATCACTCCGGAACTCTGCAAGAGAGTGTGTCCGAAGGGATGGCAAACATTTGGACGAATGATATTTACGAAATAAAACCGAATATGTTGATAGCAATAAACATTTTCCTTTCATTAAGTTTGTATTTTTTTTCTTACATCAAAAAGTGAACTTTCCCACTGGACGCCCATTTGACTAGTTAGCTAATTACGTTTTACTAATTAATGCAATAATGGCCATCCTGTGATAATTTATTTTTACAATCAGCACAAAATGAAATCATCAAATATAGGCTAAGATTCCAGGGGACTGATTTAACAAATGACAGAAAACGCCATATCACGCGGTTACTTAATTTCAAGCTATAATGTGACTGAACATCTTCATAAATTCCTACTCTAGCTACTTACGTTAATATGACACCAGGAGCGACAAAGTCAGTAAATGAAGGTTTGTTGGACCCATAAATGGGATCTTTGAAACTAATAGGTAGTGAAGCTAATGCTTCGTTGATATCGCAGTCCCTAAGTATATCCTTGGTAAAGTTCTGATACGAAAGCTGCAAGTCTCTTTGGAGCGTTATACCTATCTGCTGATCTGAAAAAGAAAATAGAAATTGCTGTTGTAATGCATACTAAAATAATAATACATAATGTTACAGGATGTCAGGAAAATTGAAGGGCAGATTCAGTATGACATTATAATAACTGACAGAAGAAAGGACATCAATTTTCTAGGTAAATAGTTTATTCACTGAATCAAAGCAGTTACGTCACAACGTCACATTAAGTAAAATTACTAGATCCTAGAACATTTACAAAATCTACTTACTGTCTTCGATGCCTTACCGCAACCAACATTATGGAGCGTATGTTTTGTAAACACTAGAGCTAGTATAAATTCTATTTACTACTTAATACCTCTCTTACGGACTGTAAAGGCAATAATGGAGCGCTATGATCTCATTCGGTCTCAAAATAGTTCGTCAAAGAAATGACGGATTCTTTTGCCTGTCGAAGGTTGGCATTCAAATTTACTAAATATGACGCAACTGCCTTGTTTCAGAGAATGAACTATATTATGTTTGTTTAGGGTAGGACAAAAAACGATCAGCTTGTCAATCATATCGATAAAGTATTTTTTGTGATAACCTCCGCTCATACACAAAAAGTAATCAAGCGGTAACTGTGTTTTGTAGCTGCAATTGGCTCTTGATCATCGTACAATACGTTGTGAAGAGCTGCTCTAATCTGTTCATTATCCCTACAGTGAGAAGACGAGAAAATGTTACAACTTAGTCAATCTGATATGGGACAAATAGTGGGATTGTGAGAGGCTGACTGGTCCTTTAGAGAAATAGCCACCACGGTGTTAAGAAGTCTCCATACGGCGGGCATGAAATCAGGAAGGCCGAACACGAAGGGTTAAAGGTACATGGCGTGTCAGAAGAACATCTCCACAGCCTATTACAATGCGTATTATTTATTGTCGGATCAACAGTTTTGGACTTACTTCATACCATCCTCAGTTTGTCCTATTTCTCGCTCCAAGGCACCGAAGTGAAGAACTGGCCTGGTGCAGAGAACAGCAGAGCTGGGATCTCGAATGGAATCCCACTGAACCCTTATGCTGTATGCATGATGGCCGTACAAGGATGAGAACGCAATGAGGTGAAAGCTGAGATTCTCAATTTTCGATGGAAACGCATGTGCACCACTCTGTTGGAATTATGGTATTGGGGGCTATTGCTTATACAAACAGGTCACCTTTGGTGTTCAGAGGAAACATCCGGGGGACGGGGAACCACATGTTTTGCCTTATATTTGCATGTCACACTACTCTAATAAGCTAATGCGTGTCCACATGCAGCCAGAATTTGCGTTGATCCATTTTGAAGACAATCAAGCCGATTTGTTGCCTTGGCCCCTAAATCTCCCGATCCTTCACTCAGCGAACACGTCTGGGACAATATGGAAAAATATTGGCAATTTGACATGAGGTATAAGTAGCCTGAGATAAGATACCTCAAGAAGAATTCGATCACCTGTTTAGGAGTGTGCCCAGACGAGTGTCTGAGTGCATAAAAACATCGAGGAGGCTCAACAAATTACATTACATTTTTACAACGGTTGGATTTTTCTGAAATTTTTATCAATTACTTGCTTAACCCTAAGAGACATGCATACAAAAAACTGTTGTAATAAATTTATTACTATTAAGTGTTCTTTTTTGCACTTAGTATAATATACTAGTATAATATACTAGTATAATATACTGAGTGACATATAAAATGCAAAACACAGAATTATTTATTGAATTCTGATAAAAGTTGTTAACATATGGAAGTATACTCTGATAAAATGCTGAAAGCATTCCCAGCCGTACTTTTTTGTAAAGGCTTTTTTTGTCATATCCGGATACGAACAATATAAACATGTTACTTAATATTCAGTGATTTTTCTGTGTTGGTTCCATTTGTTTCATTCTTATTTCATTGCATTATCATGCCAAGAGTTCGCAGATGCGCTAATTTCGCTCAACTTTCCTTGTTTGAGAGGGGTCGAATAATCGGGTTACGTGAAGCCGGATTTTCTTTTAGAGAAATCGCTAGAAGGCTGAAATCGACAAGTTATAGGTACTGGACGTCAACGTTATTTGAGGCAACTAGCACCCCAACTAGCAAAGTATTGGTATAAGCTTTTGGTAAAACAACCGTTCAGCCATAAAAGCTCTCTATTGTTGTTGCCTGAACACCAAAATGCTGGCGTAATGTTGAGTGGAATGCAAATTTGCTTTCTGCAAAATATTTGCTCTAAAGTGAGGTGCTTAAAATATTTTTATAGTATAGTTATACAACATCTTATAGGGCAAATTTTTAACTGTTGCATAAACGTTTATGCAACTATTTTATACGGCATATTTGCACGTTAGTCAAACTGGTGTGTTGTGGCATCCATGGTAACGTTTATATAACAAACCCGAGCCTTGTTGTTTTGCTGTGCAATTTACTACTTTAGCCAACAAATTGCTCCCAACGGAAGCACTTATACAACTGTTGTTTAGTAACTGTTAAAGGCTGTGTGTACATATGCTAAATATGTCTACTTTACCATAACCTAACTTTTTGCTGTCATATTTTTGTTAAAATGCCGTAACCAATGTTTTAAGACAACGCATGCATATTGGTTCAAAATGCTTTATCAACTGTTCAAACAGAAGATATAGATCTGGTACAAATTCTGGGTAAGTCATTCGACTCTGTCGGTATTTCATTTCAGACATTTGTCAAATTGTTCTATAACACAACACCATCAGGCAACACCAAAATATTCTAATAACCTAAAGAAAACATGGACGATGCCATGATTATACACAACTACCCGCCATATTGGGCAAACATTTATTCCTCTATTTAATATTAAATAATTATGTTTCAGTTCGAAATTACAGATATAAAGTGACAAACATTAGTGTAACTGTGTCTAAATATAGGATTTGTGGAAGATTTAACGCAGATAAGTTCAGTTGTCTATCTTAAAAATCTAGACATACTTTTGATCATTATCAAAATATAAATCAAATACGAAGCCCGTAGAAATTGCGTAACTACTTTGCACGATAATCACAATAAAATTTGCTGCGCAAGTAATTCAATAGCCCTATATCACAGTGTAGAAGTTTATTATATACCTGTGTATGACATTCACAATGGCCGATATGTAAGTAAACAAGATGACTGTAATGTGTTAGTTATATATTCTTCACTTCGTCTATGCAATACATAAGAAATAGTTTGGTTGCAATAAAGTAGAATCACGTAATAGTTATATAGTTGACAAAAACTGAATCTTGCACTCACGCAAATGTCCTATAGCGGCTGCAAGGGGCTTACACTTTTGTTGTATAAATGTTACCTGCAGCCGTTATACAACCTCTTAAATGACTGAAGTGTCCTATTAGGTGTGCCCATTCCGCTTGTATAGCTGTTCTAAGAGGGTTTTGCCAATGTTCTTACAGTATACAATGCTGTTTAAGGAATACTGTATAATCATTCTTGCAACTCTAATAGGAGTGATAATTGTTAGTTGGGACTTAGAGATTGATTTTCCACAACAAGGGCAGTTGCGAACCAGTGGTTTGATTCTGTCAGAAGGGCACCCAACTAACAATTGTCACTCCTATTAGAGTTGCAAAAATGAGTATACAGTATTCCTTACACAGCATTGTATACTGTAAGAACATTGGCAAAACCCTCTTAGAACAGCTATACAAGCGGAATGGGCACACCTAATAGGACACTTCAGTCATTTAAGAGGTTGTATAACGGCTGCAGGTAACATTTATACAACAAAAGTGTAAGCCCCTTGCAGCCGCTATAGGACATTTGCGTGAGTGCAAGATTCAGTTTTTGTCAACTATATAACTATTACGTGATTCTACTTTATTGCAACCAAACTATTTCTTATGTATTGCATAGACGAAGTGAAGAATATATAACTAACACATTACAGTCATCTTGTTTACTTACATATCGGCCATTGTGAATGTCATACACAGGTATATAATAAACTTCTACACTGTGATATAGGGCAATTGAATTACTTGCGCAGCAAATTTTATTGTGATTATCGTGCAAAGTAGTTACGCAATTTCTACGGGCTTCTTATTTCCTGCATATTTTGATAATGATCAAAAGTATGTCTAGATTTTTAAGATGGAAAACTGAACTTATCTGAGTCAAATCTTCCACAAATCCTATATTTAGACACAATTACACTAATGTTTATCACTTTATATCTGTAATTTCGAACTGAAACATTATTATTTAATATTAAATAGAGGAATAAATGTTTGCCCAATATGGCTGGTGGTTGTGTATAATCATGGCATCGTCCATGTTGTCTTCAGTTTATTAGAATATTTTGGTGTTGCCTGCAGGTGTTATACAACAATTTAACAAATGTCTGAAATGAAATACCGACAGTGTCCAGTGATTTACCCAGAATTTGTACCAGATCTATATATTCTGTTTGAACAGTTGATAAAACCTTTTGAACCAATATGCATGCGTTATTTGTCTTAAATCATTGGTTATGGCATTTTAACAAAAATATGACAGCAGAAAGTTAGGTTATGGTGAAGTTGTATACCAACATATTTATCATATGTACAGCCTTTAACAGTTACTAGACAACAGTGCTTCCGTTGGGAGCAACTTGTTGGCTAAAATAGTAATATGCACAGCAAAACTACAAGGCTCGGGTTTGTTTTATAAACGTTACCATGGATGCCACAACACAACCATTTTGACTAACGTGCAAATATGCCGTATAAAATAGTTGTATAAACGTTTATGCAACTGTTAAAAATTTGTCCTGTAAGGTGTTGTATAACTATGCTAAAGAATATTTTAAACACCTCATTTTAGACCAAATATGTTGCATAAAGCAAATTTGCATTCCACACAACATTAAGCCAGCATTTTGGTGTTCAGGCAACAACAATAGAGAGCTTTTATGGCTGAATGGTTCTTCTACCAAAAGCTTATAGCACAACTTTGCTAGTAGGGCGATAACAATGAGATCAGTTTATCGCCGAATAAAGTCTTTTGGACTGTTTTCATACCGACCCCACCTTGTACTACGTTTGACTCCACAGCATCATCGGCAACGATTGGTATGGAGTACGGAGATACTTGAATGAAATATGGAATGGAACTCAGTCGTGTTCAGCAATGAGTCTAGCTTCTGTTTGGGCACACATGATGGCCGTGCAAGAGTAAGGAGGAGACTTTGTGAAAGGCCAATATTCCATCGAACGTCCAATATTCATCGCACTCTGATTGTTATGGTATGGGGTGCCATTGCTTAGGGCAATAGGTCAGGATTAGTATTTATTCGAGGTAGCATGCTACATCCACGAAATTTTACAACAACTTCCTCTTCTGGAAACATTACAAGATCCACTTTTTCAGTAAGACAAGGTACGATCTCATGTCGCACTTGTTAGTTTAAACTTTTTCAGAAGCGTCCGGAGTAAATCTGCTTTAATGGCCTCCTCGATCTCCAGACCTTTCCCCCATCAAACATGTATGATATATGATGGGAAGAAGGTTGCAAAATTCACCGCACCCTCCACAAACATTGGAGGCTGTACGAAACCAAATTCGGACGGCCTGGGATACAGTACACCAAGAAGACATCAATCAACTAATCCAATCAATGCCGCGACGACTTAACGAATGTGCAGCGAACGAGGAGATTCAACATACATATTTATAACATTGAGGTGGGATATCTCACCTATTTTGCGACATTTCGAGTTAAAAATTAAATCACTTTATATTTATCAGTAGACCTAAAACTTGTAAGAGTATGCTCAAAATTACAGCACTTCTAGTCGGTGTTGCATTTTCTATGTCATTTAGTATATACAGAAAGCTCCTGCGTGACCTGAACCCTGACCCCTTTATACGGGGCGTGTCTCTTATGAAGTGGGATTTGACTAAACGAAACAACTTAGGCAAAAGAGAGAATATCTATTGTTTTTTTTGGTAATTATTCGCCTTTAAACTCGATACATTTTTGCATTCGAACAAACCAATCTGTAAAGCAGTAATTCCACTCTGAAGTTAGCCTCTGTATAAGCTTCTACCGCTTCCTCTGGAGACTGAAAACGCTTCTCACACAATTTATTCTTAATTTTGTAGAAAGTATAAAAGTCTTTTGAGCTTAAGTCAGGTGGATATGGTGGGTGATATAAAATCTCGACATTCTCAGAGTCCAAAAATTCAACTGTGCGACGAGCAGTGTCTGCGGTTGCGTTATCGTGATGAAGTTGGATTCGGCGATTCTTATTTGTTTTTCGCAGTTCGGTAATAATGCGAGGTAAGCAAATGGTTGTTCAATCTCCATTGACCGATCGACGATCCTCGGCAATTGTGGCGACATGCCCAGATTTGGCTACAAACTTGGCGACCATTTTCTGGGGCGAATCACTTTTGTTGATTTTACCTCATCCTGAAACTCCCAAACTGCAGATTGAGCCTTACTTCAGCTGTATATCCATGTTTCGTCACCACTTACAATATCACATACGTGATTGGAAGCCCCGCAAAGTTTTACGGCACCAATCGACACGAGCCGCTTTTTGGTCGTTAGTGAGAAGCTGGGGTATCAGCACGTGCAGCTCTTGACACACGATCTTTTGTATGTCCACGAGATGTCTGAAGTTTCCTGAATCTCCCTATATGTAACATGTCTATCTTCCATGATTAACTTTCGCACACCATCAATGTTTTCTGGAGTCATCGCTGTTTTTGGTGGACCTTCACCATAATGTTTCTCCAGACTAGTACGTCCGCCCTTAAACTCTGCATACCACCGATTCACTGCTGTTCTTCATGGCGATTTTTTCCAGAACACAGAATTAAGTTCAGCGATACAAGCTTGTTGCGTTAATTTACGCTTGAAATTTTAAAAAATTATTACACGATGATTTTCTTGCGTCAAATCCATTTTTAACCGAACTTGGAAACTTTCAACTCTCACTGGAATCGAATGAATTTTCGCATCAATTCAGAACAAACAACCTAGCCTCAAAAATATATGGTCCGTCAAATGACGCTATAAACAATTGACTAACAGGCTTACTTTGATCAAGTCCCACTTCATAAGAGACAAGCCTCGAACATGCTAATTTGATATCTACTTACTGGACATATCCAACCAAACTCTAATCTCGCTCTGATCCAAAGTCTCCTCGTCAGCTTCTTTTCCTAGAGCCATTCTGGCGACGAGAGCGTCCGTAAAGTTTTCCGTGAAGTACATCGCTCCCCAAGCTTCGCCCTCGCTAACAGCTAACCTGGCAGCATTCGGATCTGGATAATACACTTTTTCTATCGTGGACACATTTAGGGCTTCCAGATATCGACAGCTTAGGAATTCCATCTAGAAGATAAACACAGTTTCCGTTGATAAGTAAAAAAGTGTGTCAATATTAAGTATTTGATTTCCTACGTCACTGGCGAGGGAGTATTGTAATCGCGAAATATTTAGAAAATGAGACAGTGTTTCTTTAATGCTATATGACATGCACATCACCATAAACCATGTCACTCATTTCCGTCCGTCTGTCTGTCTGTCCGCTGTCCTTGACCTCGATATAACTTGCGAAGAATCGGTCAGATTTAGATAAATTTGTACTACTATGTCAATGAGGAAAAGCTTTACAGTTTTCGGTAATTAGACAGGCGGCGGAGCTGTGAACAAAAAACAAAAAAATCAAAATCAGTCTTCGATTTTTGACTCTGACTCTTCATCATTGTCGAAAAACTTTTTTATGGTTAAAAATCGGGGATTGGGGGTTGTCAGGGGTGGAGGAAAATATATTTCAATTTTTTAGCGATAATATATAATTTAGTAATAATAGGCCGTAGTTACAAGGGTTGAATAAACATGTTTTCTAAAAAGTCTTGTCTACAAGATCAAAGTTCAAATTAGAAAGTTTTTTTATTGATATTTCAAAAATCCTTTTGCCAATTATGTCGAATTTTAGCAGTACTGTTTCTTGCAACAAGACGTTAAGCTAGCACTAACTAAATATATAATTATTATGAATTCTAGTGGCGCCCACAAACGATATTGACAAATATCCCACTGACTTGCAAAACAGATACTATGCGGATTAGACAGATAAAGATAAAACTTTATTGTTTCTTACTATATTTTCGTATGTTACTTCGTTTTAGAGTAAAAAAATTAAAACAACTTCATTGCATGTCAAAAAATTATTAAAATAAGATCAAATCAGCTTTTCTCGGTGCTAGGAAATGCTCTGTAGTTATCACATGTTTTTTAAATCCTTAACACCCCTTATCTTAGAAACCCGATTTTCAGGACAAATCCTTTATGAACTTCTACTTGAATTTGGTTCAGAAATGCGCACTTGTAATTACGGCTTGTCATTAAACAAAACCCTGTATAAATACGCTTCCAACCTCATAATTCCACCCACCTATTAGTACATATATCATAGATTTTCTCGTACATTTGACCTTAATTATTTTACCAGATGCATCGCGCCTTGGTCACGCTTGCCGTGAGCTACGAACTTATACCTGTGTGCACAAAATACTGTCTGTGCCTGTTGCCTAGCATAGCACGGCTGTCGTTACCAGATGGTCGATACTTTCGGTTGGGCAGGGAAGAAATGTCTAGATCGCAGTACTATCAAGTGGGTGGGGACTATGGAATAATTCTATAGGCCGGTTTGGCTGACTTGATCCATTTGATTTTTTCTGTTGTACATGTTCGTTGTTGACTTTTTTCTCAGAGGGGCTAACTTGTGCCAAGCATAATCCTTTATGACCTGATGGCAGCATTTTATGGAAAATGCAGTGTTAACCTACGAGGTCTGTACGTTAGGTGATGAGACTTGCGTCGGCGACGTAGCGTTCGATCTGGCAAGACTGGAGGTGCCGGGCTCGGAGAAAAGACAGGGGAACATGGGATCCGCCTTCCGTATAAGTTTAAACTCGCTCTAGTCATTTGGTTGTCCGTAGTGTTTTTTTTTTGTGAAACAGTTTACTACTGTGTTCTAAAAATAAATGACACCAATTTCGAGAAACGGTCTGCTATCAGGTTTTGTGTCAGACTTGAGCACTTTTGCTATACTTCAGCAGGCCTTCGGAGATGGTGTTACGTCAACAGTCCAGCTTTTTCGGTGGCTCAAGGCATTTTCAGAAGGGTGAGAGTCAACTGAAGATGATCCACGAATCGGAGGGCCTTCATCTTCAAGAACCGATGAAAATATCGACAGAATCCGGAATTTTGTACGTTCAGATCAGAACTATCGGGGAAGAGTTAAATTTGACTCACATCACCGTTCGTCAGATCAAGAACAACTGGGTGTGCATCATGATAATGCCGCTTGTCATACAGCAATGTCAATAAACGAGATTTTGGCCACTAAAAACATTCGTGTGGCTCCTCAGCCTCCTAATTTGCCTGACTTGAGTCCTTATGACTTTTTTCTCTTCTCGGTGTTGGAAAATCACCTCAAGGGACATTTTGGGATAATTGAAAACATTCAAACGGCTGTAACCGACCAGCTAAACGCTATTCCAGTATCGCACTGCTATGAAAACTGGAAGAACCGTCTCCAGCGCTTTGGGTGACAATATGAAATTGTAATTGTATTTGAATAAGAAAATAAGAAAATAGTCTCATCAGTTAATTTACAGACCTCGTACTTGATGATATTTTTAATATGACACATTTTTTGAAAATCTTGGCGAATGAAATGTTTGATATCTCGAAATTACTAAGGGTTTGAAATTGTAGCAAATTGTGAAATGTAAAAAATTACATTTTGTATGATTTTTGATATTTGATATTTTGGAAATTTCTATGTATAAACGCAAATATCTGTCCTGCCTGTTGTGAGCACCATGTTCCAACCCCAATTCGTAGAGCCGTAAACATTTTAAATGAAAATACTATCACAGTTAGGATAAATGGTAAAATAATTGAAAATGTTGAATCAATTAGATATTTAGGTATATACAGGGTGGCACATCCAAAACGAAACAGACGCATTTACTGGCAGCTCAGTTTTTTTTTTGAAAAACGTTCAGACCCGTCGATTTTGTTTCCCCAAAATCTTAAATGGAAAGGGGGGTTGAAAGATACCTTATTTTAAAGGTCTTTCAATTCCCTTTATAATGATATAAAATTAATGTACTTCAGTTCAGTAGTTTTGAAGATTTATTGATTTAAAGTTTAAATAAAACTAATACATCATCATTAGTGGAGATCAATACATTTGGTAGCAAAGTAATTTAAAAATGAAGAATGAACTGACCCGTTAGGCAAGTAAATGTTGAAAATGGCCACCATGACTCTCCATGCAATAATAAATATTTTGCTCAAAACGTTGCCGCACATTTTGCAATATTTGAGGAGTAATTTGAAGGCACACACAATTCACAATTCTTTGTCGCAGGTCTTCTAATGATGTTGGCTGAGTAGCATAGATCTTGCTATTTAAATGACCCCACATAAAGAAATCAAAGGTGATAAATCTGGCGATCTTAGGGGCCATTTAATGGCACCTCTTCTACCAATCCATCGATCTGAAAACGTCTGATCTAAATATTGTCGAACACGTAATGCGTGATGTGGTGGGGCACCATCCTGTTAGAACATCAACCTATTCGCAAATTTCCAGGTATGAAAAAAGGACCAACTAAATGATCGCCAAAAATACCAGCCCAAACATTTAATTTTTGTGGCTGCTGTGTATGAACCTCATGATAAATTCTGGGATTAGAATCGGACGAATATCGGCAGTTATGACGATTTACTACGCCATTTAAGAAAAAGGAGCATTCGTCGGAAAAGCAAGTGTTGAATAGAAAATGTTCATCGTTTATAATTCGTTCACTCATATCTTCATAAAATTGTAATCGCCGATCAAAATCGTCTTCATTAAGTTCTTGTACCACGTGAACTTTATACGGATGAAAACTATGGGCCTTTAGAATCCGTTGGACAGTACGTCGACTTGCGGGTACTTAACGTAGGATTTACATAAACTTGCCCTAAAACACCCACTTATATTGCTTCGTTCCTTATGGGCTTTTCAATGTTGCGTTTTTTATTGGTGACTGACACAGTTTCCAGAAATTTAGCTACAAGTTCTAGAACATATTTTCCATGCACGTTACTGTTCTCATGTCGCTCATTAAATATTTCTGCTGATTATTTCCGAAAAATATTTCGATAATTCAACTGTTTCTGCTGTGGAATAAACTATGGTTAATTTATGTAATAAAGCGTTACAAGTAATTTTAGCAACAAAGTTTGGTCAAATCAATCGCATGTACTAAATTCCTATTTAAAATAAGTACGAGATATTTCTTTATCTTTCTTCAAGAAATAACTTTTTTGCCACAAAAAAACGCTCCAATAGCTATTTTCAACAACAAAATGATAAACAAACCATGGGCGTAGCGAAGAAAAGCATTTACTTATTAAGTAAATTCTTTTAGTCAAATTTCTTCTGAAAGTAGTACAAACTAATCTGATGTACCTATTAAAATCTACTTTAAGCTTTAAATCAATAAATCTTTAAAACTACTGAACTGAAGCTCATGTATTTTACATCATTATAAAGGGAATTGAAAGACATTTAAAATAAGGTATCACTAGACCCCGCTTTCCATTTAAGATTTTAGGGTTGGTGTCACCCCCGCCCAGGGGGCTGCACGTGTTAACGTGATGTTTTGCCAAACTTGTGTCCCCCTCGAAACGAAAATCGACGGGTCTGAGCGTTTTTCCAAAAAAACTGAGCTGCCAGTAAATGCGTCTGTTTTGTTTTCGATGCGCCACCCTGTATATTGATAGTAAACTAAAGTTTGAGGATCACTATAAATACATTATTCCAAAAATTACTATAAAAAAAAATAAATTACCTTATATGGCTTCTCACAGTCTTGGTACATATTCCAAGAAAATAGTTCATAATACAATTATTCTACCGCATTTACTGTATTGTTTAACTATCTTGTTCACTGCCAATGAAGCTGTATTCTCAAAATTATCATGAGAATAATATTGAATGAAAATATGTACACCAAAATAAAATCTGTGTTACAAGAATTGCAGAGGTTGAATATAAAGAATTTCATATCATATTTGGCTCTTATTTTTATATGCCACAGCACTAATAGTACTATAAATAGCAAATCAATATTTCAGAAGGGATTACTTGTACTTAATAAACTAAATAATGACATAAAGTCTACTTGTAATTTAAAGATGTTTAAAAGAACACTAAATGAATACTTCATGGACAGTGAATATCTTAGAGATGCAAGTTTTGTTTTTTTAAATATCTGTATGCTATTTAATTGTTTAGTTTTTTAGAAGAAGAAGCGATAACACATTGTCGCTTTTGCAATGTATTTCCCCACGTCAGCGTCGCCTCAGTCAACCTGTGACCGTCAAGCGATACGTACGTTTTATTTTGCACTAGCTGCTACCGCGACTTCGTGCACTTGAAACTGTTACTAACATAAATCATTGTTTTTGAGTAATGCTATAAACGTCCGATCACGTTTTGTATCGTTGATGAAATTAGTAAATTGACAGCTAACTTGCATGCTTGGGAAATTGGTTGATTTATTTCTGACGCCGCCTAAACGCTCCGCGGGGCAAAAAGCTAGTATGTGATACTTGTTACATGTTAAAAACCCTTAAAATCGCTGAAATTTTTGAGAATCTTAAGAACATAGAAAATAATAAAAATATTTCGTTTCCAACATTGTGAAAATCTCCGAAATTCAAATGTTTCGGAATTTCCTCTCTTACCTTGCATCCCGGCTTTGTCGGACAGTACTGATACGTCATATTTGTATAGTTAGCCTCATGGTTGACTATGGCTAGTTTCAGATCCTTCGGGTCACCTCCTATGGCTAAACAGAAAAGGATCACCTGCATCACGGGCAAAGCGAAGATGAACAACATGACTCCAACATTCCTCCACATCCTCAAAAAGTTCTTTTGGAGCAGGGCGCGCAGTTTGCCTGTTGTGGTCCACTCTGAGCAGCCTGAAGCGCAGTCTTGACATGTGTCTGCTACCGTTTTCGAGGGAGACGATTTACCCATCTGGAAATAAGATAGAATAATCTGTATACTGAAAATCCATAAAAACGTTCGAGCATTGATTAAACGTGGTTTGCTAGGAGCTGTTCCATTCTTTATTGTATTTGGTTTGCTAGTAGAAACTACATATTTTATTCCAAAATCTCTATCGGGTATAAAAAATTGCATTCCCATTTTTTAACTGTCTAAGGTTAGTAGAACTTCCTCAAGTAGATCGTTCCACAATCTCGACTTCCTAGTGAAAAAGTATCTATCATACGGCCAGTTTTCTATTTTCGAAGTTCGGCAATGTTAGAATGAGTTCCGTAAGCTCTTTTCGCTTTATATAGGCATCTCCCATAATTTATAAACGCCACAAATATCTCCTTGCTCTTATGGAAGTTTAACCCTACGGCTGGCTTTTCTTTTCTCATGTACCACTGTCACATCTTTTGTCCTCATTCCCCCTATTCTACTGCACTGTATCTAAATATTTATTACTATTCGCCACAAGTACCTCCTTGCTCTGATGGAAGTTCAGCCCTGCGACTCCCCCTCCTTATTTGTCGCCAAGTGTTCCCCCTCCCCAATTGGGCGCAGCTGACTGAGTTCCCTAAGCTTTTCCCTCATTATTTAGCCCTCTTTCCACTAATTTAAGCCCCTTCCGTACCTATAAAGCTACTTTTTGTACTCACAGTATTTAAATGTTCGTTCCTATCCGCTACAAGCATCAACTTGCTCTGTTGGAAGTTCATCCCCACGATTCCCCCCTCCTTATTGAACACTGCCACGTCTTTTGTTCCCGCCCCAATTGGGCGGAGCCAATTGAGTTCCTCAAGCTCTTCTTTCTATCTAAGCCCTTTCCATTCATCTAGATCCGCACCACTTATACCCGCTCCTTCGTATATTCACGATATCTAAATATCTGTTGCTATTCCTCGGTCAGATCGAACTTTAACTCTACGATTCCTCCCGTTGTTCTCCGTCACCAGCATCTCCTTACTCTGATGGAAGTTCAATCCTACGACTCCCCCATCCTCATTTGATACTGCTTCGTCTTTCTTCCCGCCCCAATTGGGCGGAGCCAATTGAGTTCTCTGGGCTCCTCTCTCATTATCTAGACCCTCCCACTTATCTAGACCCCTCCCATACTTATAAACTCTCCTTTTTATACTCACAGCATCTAAATGTCCGTTGCTATCCACCACAAGCATCTCCTTGCTCTGATGGAAGTTCAATCCTACGACTCCTCCCTCCTCATTGGATACTGCCACGTCTTTTTTCCCGCCCCAATTGGGCGGAGCCAACTGAGGTGGTTCCGGCTGTTGTTGAACAGCTTGTTGCGACTGCGTCTGCTTCCTGGACAGCTTCAGGAACACTTCTTCTAAGCTGGTGCAGCCATACATCGACAGGAGGACCGCAGGGGATTCTTCGGCGAGGAGCTTGCCGCTTCTCATCAGACCGATCTGGAATAAAGAAGATTATTTATTTCATATTTCGAATTGAAAGGTTTTGCACATGGAAGCCTCAGGAAATGATAAAAAAATTCATTCTTGAGCTGTAGACCGACTGTTTAGCCTAGGCACATAAAAGTTGAGGTAACTTTGAAGAGGACGCAGGAAATAGTGGAACCTTAAAGCCTATCATGAGAAATAATTTTGAAAAATCCTTGAGGGTCTGCATTCTAGACAATACAAACCTAAGCTGATATTCTTCCACTGACATCGTTGGAAGGCTTCCAATAAGAAACTGTCTGCTCCAAATAGGGCTGTTTTGAGATACTTTTTGATTTATTAGCCAATTTTTTTTTTATTATGCAATTATACATTTTTTATTTTTATTATGAAAATGGTAATGTACAAAAACAAATTTTACCATTTTACCATAAAAAGTGCTTGGTCCAAGATTTTATTTGTACAGAATTACATATTAGACTCGTCTACACTTTAAGCATCCAATAACCTCCAAATACATCGTTATGGTAAGTATACGCATTAAAAGATGTAGGTAAGTAGGCTCTTCTCTGGGAAAATATTCTGCCGTCTACTAGGTATTTCATAACTATGTGACATTTGTTAAATAGAACCGTGTATTGTAATATATTTTAAAGGGATTTTCAAAAGGAATACATAGGGTTTAGATCGTTACTTGTGGAGCTACCTACACGTTACTTTGTCCGAAAAAATAATGAATTTTGGCATCTTGTAAGTCAGACACTTTTGTAGCTAGAGCTAGAAGACTGTTCGTCAAATTGAATACCAAAATAATTTTTATGAAGTGGATAAGGCAAAAATATATAAATCTAAATTTATTGATAAAAAGTATGTTCATAAACAGGCTGAATAAACAATGCATAAAAAAACGATCAAGTGGATTATGAAGCTGATTTTGTTACTGATCTGCAAAGGCAACTCACTTACAAGCTGTCGATGTTAAACGGCCTGGTAGATTTTGAAATATGAGGTGTCCTATAGATTTTTTCTTATACCAATCAAATCTTCATTCTTCTCAGTTACTGCAGGGCTGTTTGTATTTTTTTTAAATGTACTTGTTCTAAATAACTTTTTCAGATATATTTTATATAACGTAGATATCGCCCAGTTATACACTAAAAACTCACCCTGTATACCGAGAGCGTTAGAAAAGTATGATCAATTATATTGATAATCAAAAATTCCTAAATATTGTCCTTGTACTTTCTACATTATATCAAAGAACGTGCTTATATTTTTAAAATCCACTAGATGCATTCCACTCAGAACTGACGTCATTCAACACAAGGTAGATCGCCCTTGCGATGCTTACCATAGAATGAGATACTCGTAGGTACCCTACCATACTATTGGCTCGTTTGTGTTTAATTATTACTCAAAATAAATTGTATACGATCTCTACTTAATGGTCAATGGGACCCTCCTATAAGCAACATGTATTTTTTGAACAATTAAGCATTATTGTTCAGCGATTGCTTGTAACATATCCCCAGATATAATCTTATCCATGTGTGAACTTCATGTTACTAAAGCCTCGATCAGATTTTCATCCAAAAAATCTCGTGCTTAAACGTTACCAATTTTTCGGCATGCTCAATTTATAATGACTTCCTAAAATGGTAGACATTCCAATACGAGTAGTATTTCCTGCAACAGCAGTTCCCAAAAAGAGTAGTACCTACTTGTGATGATAGCATATAATTCATTTATTAGCATAATTTATAGATGAGAATAATAAAATAAAATTCGTTGTAGTATAATAAATTGGACACACGTGTTTCAACCGACAAACAGACCAGAATGGAATCATTACCTTTACTGATGATAATCATAGAGCTACTGATAATGGCTAACACAATAACAAGCTGTAGCTAGTTAGAAAAAGAGCTTGTAGATGTAGATATTATGCAGAGTGTCCAAAATAAGGATCCTATGCATAGGGAGCTCAATTCCTGCGGGAGATACAGTACCGGAAAAATCAAGAAAGAGTTGCGTTATTTGGGGCCTAATTACATGCTGTTGAGAAACTTGCTAACATGTCATGGCTAACTGATATATTTGAGAAAAACTATAATTTGGTCAAATTAACCTTTTTTTGAATTTCTGTCAATTTTTCCAGTGTTTATCGACGGCTCGATTTTAAGAAACTATCATCTACTTTATTTTTTCATATGGTCCGAAAAAACAAAAATTTATAAGAATTCAACGATGTATCGCATGGTACATTTATATACTTGGTTATAAGGACAAATGTGTTTTTCCTGTTTTTTTTTTCAAATAAAAATAATGTCAAAAATATATTCGTTAATCTGAGTATCACTAGATTAAGCCTCATTTTATGAAATTTTACTCCATCATATGATTATGTAATATGTTAGATGCATCCATCAGTAATCACATAATCGTACATTAAGCATTTGTTTGACAAGCCAACTTTAATAAAATAAAAAAATTAAAAAAACACTTTTTTCTTTATAATTAAGAAAACAAATGTAAATCTGCTACATCGTTGAATTTGTAGAAAACGATGCTATCAGATACAGGGTGTATTTTTTTCGGACCATTAAAAAAATAAAGTTAAAGATGATTTCTCAAAAACAAAACGTCGGGCACAAAATTTAAAACACTATCATGTAGTCCCTAAAAAGTGCCAATGAAAAAGTTCCATCAGTTTGTTGTTTAAAATAAAGTCATGAAAAAATAAAAAAGATTTGGCCAAACTTAGTTTTTCCCAATTACCAGAGCCATGCAATTTTTACGTTTCTCAAGGGCATGTAGAACGCATATTTTTCTTAATTTAACCTAAGCTGTATTTCCCACAGGTATTGAGATCCCCATGTATAGGATCCTTATCTTGTGCACAGTGCATGAAGTACATCATGATAGTAAATGTCAAAAATACGAAACTCTTAATTATTTTTTTAACACTGATTTATTTACTACGATCATTTTTTAACTCGAGGAACGTGATTAAGAAACGAGGGTGTTCTAAAAGTTTTCGTTTCTCTTTCATATCTACACTACCACAATGCTCTTGGCGAATTTCCAGGCTCCATACAGACACACGTATTTCTTGATGTTACTTCCAAAAATTATATTGTAGGTCCATTTAAAAGATACTTTTGACATCATAGGTGGATTTCTGTAAAATTTATATTATACTACCATCTAGCACTGTAAAAAAATCGAAAGACAATAACAGGGGAAGGTACTTACAGAATGTGCTTGTCTGGCTTCCTCGATATAATGCGTGGTGATGATGACAGTTTTATTTCCGTCTTTCGTGATTTGAACCAGGTGATTCCAGATACTCTGCCTTAGGAGAGGATCCACACCGACAGTCGGTTCGTCCAGAATCAGCAATTCTGGGTCGTGCATAAGGGCTACTGCGAAAGATACTCTTCGTTGTTGACCGCCACTAGAATATGAAATAATTTTTTTATTTCAAGGAATAACCTAATACAATTGAAATGTGCGTGAAAATAAGCATATGTACTGTAGCATCGCCAACCACTTATGCTTACAACTGTATATCTGTCGACCACCGTTTTTAGGCGCCAAGGTTGCTACCATTCAAAATATTGCCGCATGTTATGCGATTTCTTTTTTTGTCTTTAAAGAGCTCTGAAAATACGAAACCTTAGGGAAATATTGCGAGGAAGATTGGGAGATAATAGTCTGGTGGTTAAGGGGTCCGACTGCACTTTGTTTTACAGAATTGATACTTGTCATCAATCACTTACATTTGAGAAGTGGTGTCTAAGAGGCTATGTAGGAGGAACATGTATACATAATTTTCTATGAGTTGATGTATTCAATTAGTTCCAATAAATTGTTTGCAACCAAATTTACGTAGTAAGTAGTCAAGATGCAAGTACATACCACAAGTCGATCAGGCTTGCGCCGCTAGTTTGACAATTTATGACATTTCACATTCGCACTTTTTTGTGAAAACATTTAAAAGTGTTGATTTCCACGCAATGCTAATGGCCCAGAAAATTGCCAAAAACGGTGAAGGCTTCTGTGGGTTGTAAAAAGCTGTTTAACACGTTAAACGCTATGGCGGTCCCATGGGACCGCTTGAAAACGGGCCTATCACGCTACGGCGGACCCTTTGGACCGCTTTGTATTTAATTGACGGTGACTCCAGCCAGAGGTCCATATTTAAGTTCATTTAAAGAGTTTGATATGGACTGCTGTGGCTTGTATGGATTATACCCATATACCATCTTTTTTGTGTATTTTTGTTTTAAATAGTTATTCATTTTTTTTTATTCGCATCATTTATTTCCTACTAAATCTACACAACAACTGTGACAGAAACAAACTAGATTCCAGTAAAAATGCATATATACAAAATAACTTATGATATAGGGATACAAAATATAAGATAATTTCATTTATTTATGACTTCTTCTGAAACAGTCAAGGCAAAAGTGGGGATTTCCTTTACAACTCGCTGCCCTAGTATTACAAAGGTGTATGTAACAAATCTATAAAATTTGAGATTTTGGGATAACATGGTTCTATGTATAATAAGGTATACACAGAACCTTTTAAATCTGAAATCAAGCGAATCTTAAGCTCAGAATCATAGAAAAATCAAAGGTGTATGTTTCAAAAATTCGAAAATTAAGTTACATAGTTCTATGTTGAACATACACCCACTTAATTCTCACTTTTGGTTAATTGTTTCGATATTTAAGAATAACAAGGTACCATGTTATAACATACACCCTTGTAGTTCTGAATTATTCTCATTTTGTATTTATAGGTTAGGGTTTTCAGCACAAGTTTTCAGTGTTATTTGTGTTGCTGCAGTGTAACTTCGTGTGTATTTTTGTATTTTCTTATTGTTAAAAATGGAAACTAATAGTGAGGGATCCGATACTTTTGATGATTATGACTCTGACAAAGATGCAGAATATAAACCACATAAAAAGGAATCCAGAAAACATATTAGGTAAGTGTAAGGTATAAATCTTATCTACAATTCTATGAAATTTTTGTATTCGAATATTTTTCAGCATTACAATACGGGGCAAGAAAATTTATATACCATGCCAACCAGGAACAGCAGACTCAGACTCAGCTTCTAATAATAAGGGTATTGGCACACGAAAAATATTCACGACGTATGTACAAATTCTTGCTTATTTTATGGTCGTAGTTGAACACGATGTGGCTTTTTAGTAATAAATTTAAAGTGTCACATATATAGTGGCTGCATATGATTTTCAAACGTTTCGTTTCAACAACGGCGCAAATGATTGATGTCGAGTTCCTGCACTTGAATTGCGCTGTGGTATTTGATGTTTGATTAGGTTCACTGCAGTGTGCCAGTAGGGCATGCCACAGCCATTGTTTGATAGCCTAACCCCCTAACCACATGTGGTACTTTAAATTTATTACTAAAGAGCCACACCGTGTGGTATTTTAACATGGGCCTAATTTTATAGTGTCGTAGTCTTTAAAGTGTAAGCTCTTTGTGCTGTTGTAGTGTCTCGACTATAAACCATGCCATTTAAAAATGGATTATCTTTTTTTTGTTTTAGAAAAGTTGGAAACACATCTGACAAAGAGAACAAGAGCACATTTGGAGAAGAACAGAATAAACATACCATGAAAAGCTCTATGAAACAACCCGTGGAACATTCTCTAGGACTTCTCGCAGAACATCCCGTGGAACACACTATGGTATGTTTCCTGGAACACTGCCTAGAACATCCCGACGAATATCCCAAGGAAGCATCCGTGGAGCCTTCCGTAGAGCGCCCCATGGGTCGCCATGTCGAAAGCCCTGTAGAACACCCCATTGAGTCTGAGGATTTAGTAGAGCACCAAACCGAAAAGAAGCTTTCACGTAAAAGAACTAGGGACCCAAAATCCTGGGCACACAATATTCGAAAGGAAAAATATGATAGAGGAATGGAGTACGTGTCATCAAGAAAAAAACTTCGTCCAGCTAGAAAAATTGTAACAAAAAAAGATTGTTTAAATAGATGCCACTTTAAATGTGCTACAAAACCAACTGAAGATGATAGGAAAGATATTTTTTCAAACTATTATAACTTAGACGCAAACGAGAAGAGAATGTTTATCCTAAATACGACTATAAAGTGTAAGGTTGAAAGAAGGAGAAAGGGAAAAAACTCTGATAACTCACGAAAAATGAATAGTTATGGATATTTTTTCATATTAAATAACAACAGACTACAGGTCTGTAAAGACTTTTATTGTGGAACAAAGGCTATAAGCCAAAAACCTATATATACCGTCCATAACCATGCAACGAATTCCCACACACTCAAAAAAAGCACACAGGGAAAGCATAAGAAGTATATTCCAGAAGAGACTACAAGTTTAGTGAAAGAGCATATCAAAATGTTTCCTGTCGTAGGGAGCCATTATTGTCGCGCAGAAACAAAAAGGCAATACCTAGAAGGTGAACTGTCAATTAAGAAAATGTATGAGCTCTATGAAGAATTTGTAGCAGAAAAGGGTTTAAGCCCTGTAAAATTTCACAAATACCGTGAAATTTTCTGTACAGAGTTCAATTACTCTTTTATTAAGCCAGTAAAAGATTTATGTGATCTTTGTGCCGAGGTAGATTTAAAGAAAAAAGAAAATAACCTTACTGATGAAAAGAGATATGAATTTGAGAGACATATTAAAGAAAAGAACCTTATGAGAGAAGAGAAGAAAGCAGACAAAGAAAGTGGCATACCAATTCTGAATTTTGACCTAGAAAATGTTCTAACTTGCCCAAAGGGAGGAGTAAAGAATTTTTTTTACAAGGCTAAGCTTAATGTTTACAACATGACCGCACATCTTTCAATTGACCGAAAAGTTTATTGTGCAGTTTGGTCAGAAGCTGTTCATAGTCGTGCTGGTAATGACATCGCAAGCGCTGTCTACAAAATTCTAAGAAGGGTTACAGAAGATTGTCCTCTATTGGATGAGCTGATTTTGTGGAGCGATAGCTGCGTCCCACAAAATCGGAACAGCTTAATGAGTTATGCTATTGCCCATCTTTTACAAGTCAGTTCGAGCTTAAAGAAAATAACAATGAAATTTTCCGTACCAGGGCACTCATGCATCCAGGAAGTCGATTCCGTGCATAGCGCAATTGAGCGCACTCTGCGTAAATCTGAATACTCGTCTCCCATTTCTTTGATTCGGATCCTTTTAAAGGTGAATTCTAAAAAACCTTATAACATTCTTCAAATGAGAGAACAGGATTTTTTTGATTTTAATTACTATTCGGTTAAAATGAATTATAAGTCTGTCCCATTTTCAAAGGTGGTAGCCTTAGAATTTAACAAATCGTTCTACGAGATAAGGTATCGGCTCTCTTTTTCTGAGGCTGAATATAGATCTTTGAATTTAAGACAAAGAATTGGCCGACGTCAATCCCACGTCACTGCAGAAAGAGGCGATATATTATTTCCCGAAATACTGAGGAAAAATGATTATGCAGTGGTACTTGCACAACACAAAGTAGATGCAATAAAATCAATGTTCAAGTGGATGCCAAAAAATGATGTGACTTTCTATGAAACTGTTTTTAGTAGATTAGATAAAAATAAAAAATAAGATTTCGAGTGTAAGTATTTGATGGATTTGATACTCCCTTGTATTAACTAAGTTTTAGTTTGTTTTGTCTTAACTTTAAGAATTTGGGTTATTTTTATTTAATTTCAAGTTTTGAAGTCCTATGTTTGCCAATATCCTTAATTTTTAAACTTATTTGACAGTAACGGAGTCCTATGTATTTTTGTTTATCTAAAATAAAGACCAATAAAAAAAAGTGTGACGACTTCCTTTATATACCATGTACCTTTTACTTACAAAGATGTAAAAATCACAGTAAGAACCAAAAGATGTTCAAATTTAAGTAGATATAAACCTCAATTTCTTTAATATTGATTTTCTCGAGTTCGAATAATTGTAACATAAGACTATGTAATTCTAGGGCAGCGAACTGTCACAACATATAACAACTTTTGGAATTTCATTTTTTGGTATTTACCCCTTATTTTTTTATAATAACATCCTTTACAATACCGGCTGACGTCATGTGATTTTCCTTCTTTCTTTTTTCAGTACATGTCGTACCCGTCTTGTGTCAGCTTTTGACGTAGACGATAGATTAGACTAGACACATTATTTGTTGGAAACATGACTTTGGCGCTTTGGCCTGATCGACATTTTTCTAACATTTTGCTATGCGCGTTAAGCTGAATAAAAGCAAATCTTTTTATCGATAAGTGTTATATATTAAAGTTATCGGCGTTCTGAAAGGGCATGTACTTCAACATTGGGCTTATAGCTGGACAGTTAACTATTTATTTCTTTTAACTTCTTGTTGGATTATACTTAACAACAATACTGAAAAATGCAAAATACTGGAGACAAATTTTTTTTTAAGGATATTGAAAAGGGACAACCGTTACTTTAATCTAATTGAAGTAAACTAAAATTTTAACTTTATCTAATTTATTTTTGAATCTGAAAGGTACTTTTGCGTTATAAGTAGTATTTTTAGGGTCTCATCTTAGTGCCATGAGATTCTACGGAGCAAGGTTAGTAAGCCCAAAAAAATTATGTATATTAATGATTTAATTCATTAAAGTACTTTCAAATATTTCTAATATCAGGTATTCTGCTATTGTTGCTGTTTGATGAGAGAATTTTCGTATTGTTCATCTTGAACGAATTTCAAAAAGTTTTGGCCCTGCGGGATATGTAATATAACCCCAGTATCAAGAATCCTCAAGTGGTGCCACTTGGGCACTACTTTTTAAGAGTGGAGTATTAGTCAGTAATTCCTTCATGGCGAGTTTCTTTCTAGTGCAACAAACTGGAAGTTGAGGCGCTGTGGGCGGACCCTGTTTAATTCTTGTCTCCAGATATCCTTGAAAATATGGGCAATTGGTTCATATACACGGTGTTCATTTGAAAACTTCCCACCACTGATTAAAAGAAAAAATGCCGAGACACTTCAAATGATTTGTTAAGGGGGACAACTTTTTAACCAAAAACTACTTCACCCCCTTCCACCCTCTGTCCCCAGGGTCATCCCCTTAAAAAATTTAAACGAAAAGGGGTATCGAAAAACAGATTGCTTGAAGTCCTTTATTTTGACGTTTGATTTTTTAAAATTTATCTTAATTTGTTTAGATAGTAAAACAAGAACACACAAAAATACAGGGTGACTTCGAAGTTGAGTCATTTATTTTAACAGTGAGTAGATCTGATCAAAAGAAATGTTTTTTTCCTTTAACATTTTTCTGGTAAAATTAAAGTAACAAAGTTATAGCCCTTTAGAAGTTTGAGTACCGCCCTGTCTCAATAATAATATTATGTGCTCGTGTTTGGCAACAACGGATATAATCCGCCTTATCCGTTCATCGCATCGGAAACAAAAAGCGAAAGAATTTGAAACGATGTTTTTACTACAATGTACAATCTTATTCAGTTGTACTCAGTCGATGTGTCAGTCGGTAACGCGTGAGTGAATAGTGGTGTTTGTTGCGTGGCTCAAACGAAATAAAAAATGGCACATGTTTACGAAAATACTGAATGTAGTACAAAGGGCTCGTGAATCAGGTGACTTAAGACCTCACAGGGGAGGGCATGCCGGTGCTCCAAGACCGCACGATCAAATACAGGTCCGCACTGAAATACTTGTCGGGAGGATACTTTATAAAACATTTTTTTTTAATTTCTTTTTTATTTTTACACACATATTTTGGTTTATCTTCCTTCTACAATCATTATCTGAAAATTAATGACTCAACTTCAAAGTCACCCTGTATAACTTTTTATTTCAATAAGTGTTCAAAATGTTTCCCGTTATTGGCCAAACAATGATATAGGCGATTTTCAAATTCCTAACAAACATTTTTTAAATGGCCCAATCACTTTGTTTCCTACCCCCTAAAATGCCTGCCCATTAATTTTTGGGGGTACTGGGTATGCCCTTTTTTTAAATTAGAATCATTTCCACTCTTTTGAGATTGTTACAAAGGTAACTGACAGAAAATTAAATTCTTTCTTTCCCTTAGCAACAAATTACTAAACAGGTATAATAATAAATACAGTTCCAGGATATCTGTGTTGATGAAAAGAATGCGGAAAGAAATTCGGGTTGTTATTTGGTTGTTGCCACGTCTAATCTTCCGAATTGCTGTTTATGTTGGTAGTTTCCGTTTTAAATTGTAAACGAATTGTAGATTTGTAAAACTCCAACGGGCAACAAAAAAGTGTTCAAAAGTGTTCGTGATTTTGTTTTCTATTTGAACAAATTAAGATAAGTAAAGATTTTTCTAATTTTCTCGGCGGCTGATTTAAAAAAATCAAATGTCAAAATAAATGACTTCAAAAGACCTTTCAAACAAGCTATTACCCGATACCCCTTGTCATTTCAAATGTTTAAGGGATGACGCTGAGGCAGAGGTTGAAGGGGGTGAAGTAGTTAATGGTTAAAAAGTTGCCCCCTTTGACAAGTCTGTTGACGTGTCTCGGCGTTTTTTCTTTTAATCAGTGGTTTTTGGTGGGAGGTTTTCAAATGAACAACTGTATGGTTTAAGTTGACACGTAGGTAGTATTGGAAAGAAACTAAAACCAAATATAATATAAAATGACGCTTGAAGCGACTTAATACATCAAACCATAGAAAGTTATGAATTTGTCCGTTTCTTCAAAGATGTTAAAGAATAAACAAATCTTTTTAAAACGGAAATCTCTGTTTTTACTACTTGTAAGAGAACTGCTGGCTAGGGTTGAGCATTTTCTCCCAGCTGCCTTGCGTGTGGGTAAGGGGGCGACTTCCGAAGAATCTGTTTTCACCGAACAGCGGTCCTACTTTATTCGCGTTTTGTATGTTTTGATAAGGGATGCTACTATTTTCAGAAACTGTTTCACAAACGTTGCAGCATTTCGACAATGTTGCCAGGTCTCTCGATTTTATTAAAACGATCATCTAATCTGGTAGTTATTTTTGATCTTGATCTTACCTAAGGTTCTTAACCATTCTGTTCTGACTAGGCAAATCCAAAAAATTGAGCAAAAACTCCAGCCTTTCTTTGATTTCTTTGGATTTCATGCCGAAGATCCACCCGAAGTATTGCATCGTCTCTCTTATCGTGAATTCTCCGTACAGTGCGATCTCTTGTGGCATATATCTGAAATATACAAAAAATAAATCAAAGATATTAAGGGCTTGGGGCAATAAAGTACCTAAGCCACATTTAAATAAAAACCATTGTCGTAGGTATGTAGGTATGTCCGAAGTTAAGTTTTTGATTTCTAAATGGCGTTTTTTAACAACCACAATATCCCAGACATTTATACGCCAACAAAGGTAGAAGCGACTTAAATTCCAAGACGGGCCCCAAACAATGGATGTTTAAATCGAACAAAGAATAAATTTGGTTCTGGATTTAGTTCAGATGACAGTGTGAAGAGTTAGACACTATCCTCCTACTGATAGGAGTTCTGACAGCGGCTCTGAGCGAGTAGTTCAGGCGAATAAATAAATTAGTGACTTATCACTTTACTGCCTGTATAGATGTGGCTTGAGCTTTTGTTACCTACACAGTAAAGCTATTTTTTAGTTTCACAATACCATTAGATAATGATTTCAAACCATCTATTTATCAGAATATATCACTATCCTTACTGAATACAACTATCGTAGACCACAAATAACTTTAATATGTGTCAATGATATGCAATTTTGTGATGAGTGGCTTATACTCTCTTTAACAAAATACATTTATCTGTGTGGCCTAGTCTGCAGGAACATGCATAATTTTTCGAAATAGAGAACGTATATCTGACACAGTCTTAGTGGAAAAACAGAATTTCTATGCATTCAGCTACATATCCGCTAGGAAAAAGGATTTTAACGTAGATAAGAAGCGTGTCAAATTTAATGAAGTGTGTTGTTTCAAGTTTAACATCCTAATATCCAAATTATATGTATGATTATAACCAAGCCAAAATGAATATATTTTACGAAAATGTGTTGTATTTTTTCGATTTTGTTGTTACCAAATCTTTGTTTCTCAAAATGTAAACCTATGGTAGCATTTTAATCGAAACTAAGCAAGAAACGCGAAATAAAGTCAATGTGACTCAGGTACCTTATTGCACCAAGGCCTTCATGTATTATACAAAGTGACTAAAAGTAGCAATATTTTCGGAGTAGATATTGTAGCTAAAGGAAGAATACGAATCCTTCATGTTTAATTATAATTTTCTTCAAAACGAAGCTGGAATCTGACTTTATTACTGCCAAGGAAATTACTACGATCCTATTTGGCAACATGGCTGTGACGATGGAAATTGTATGTAAGTGATGGGCATCTTCTTGGAGAATACGTTTATCAATTTTTATTTCAATTTATCCGCGTCAGTGGGAAATAGCTTAGGACCACTTTGATATGTCTCCTGATTTTAGAGATTTTTCTATAAGAAAAATTGTTGACTTACCCAACCCGTTTTCCAGGGACTCCCGATCCCCTCGTTCCAGGTTTTCCACCCAGGACCCATATTTCTCCCGAGTTCAGTCGTCGTCGCCCTACTATACATGATAGTAACGTCGTTTTGCCGCAACCTGATGCTCCTAGTAAACCATATCTGAAAAGAAACATTTTATGAGTAAAAGTTGAACGGTATGAAATTTTTTTTATAAATATTCGCGATTAACTAAAGATATTTTTTGTAGCAGCCAAGTTTTTTGAAATAAGTGGCGTCAAGAAGGTTAACTCCGCACATCAATCCAAAAGAAAAAATGCCGTCAAGTAGGCTGACTGCACTTCCTACACAACGTTGTTATCAATTCATAAAGGATTATATTCGGAACAAGTCAGTCCCTATTAGAAAAAAGTTGAGCATAAACATGTATAACAAGGGAAATAAATTGTTCATGCGAATCAAACAGGCTCGAACAATTCTGTCCATAGTCCCCACAGATTCGACAATATTGCGATCTAGCCTACCGCTCTACCGACGATTATCAACATGTCCAAAATCGTTTTCTAATGCACTTGCATCAGTAAAATTTCTGCCGGCCAGCCAGTATGTTTAGCAGAAAAAAAGTACGCCACTGATTTTTTGAAATGAGTGACATGGTTTTTCGTGGTCTACATGTCAGACAGCAATCAAAAAACGTTTTTTGCGATTACAATACTTCTTCGTCAGTGGCGTAGGAAGTAAAAAATCTAAATTCGTATTTTGTGAGTTACAACTAGCTGTCATTCGCTTCGTGTTCACTTGTACTAGCTGATCGTGTTGACTAAACGTTATGACACTTCAGCTATAATGGTTTGGCTCTGATGTGATGTAACATCTGCTTCAGAGGTGGCACTAAGGGAGGTTATTTATAGCTTTCATGGCTTAAGCTATAAATTATAGCTATATGTCGTTGTTGCATTTCTCCAGATAGCGCTCACAGCTAGTGTGTGAGGCGTGAACTAGCGACCAGCTAGTTCACACGTTGACACTACTGGTTTTTAATAACCTTATATCGATTTCTTATGTCACGATCACTCAACAGTGGGGACTCACAAATTTAAATTTGGCAATACCCAATTGTTCGACCTCAAAATGTCACCCGACAGTAACTTGACTTGAACTAGACTTAGATTCTGCTTAGGCCGACTTTGGATTGACTTTGCCCTTATTCTTGAACAATTCTCATACTAAAATAAACCATGTAATCTCACGCGTAAGGCCCTAAAAACTAATCAGATACGGGGTAACTTACATGTCTTACGAACAACGTCTGCCTTCATAAAAATATAAATAATACTTTTCGCGGGTTTTCAAAGAGCAATACGGTTTGGTTGGTATGTTTGTGCTACTTCTGGTCGAAAAAATCCAATCTGAGACCTCACAATTAGCTCTTGTATATGCTCCTGGATAATTATCACGGGTTGATTAGCGTCACAGTACCGTTTCCGGTAGCAGCGATCAACGGGGCATCTTCTAACTTACGTTACGCATCTTTGGAGTGAACTTATCTCGTTGCTCATGACATCGCAAAAACTTTGGATCAGCTGTGGCATGCTGCCCTCTTGAGCAAACTTACATCCTATGATCCTCCAAACAAGCTTTATCGATGGGTGGCTGACTTCCTCCATGGCCGCAAGATAACCGTCATAATTGACGGGTCCTCCTCCCTCTTCATCCCACAATGTCAACGCGGGTGTCCCCTAGGAATTGGTCTTGGCCTCGAGATTGTTGTGCACCTACGGGCGGTCGGCGATCTGGATCTTTTCTACCGTTATGTCAGTGGGCTTTGCGGTGCCTGCCAGATAGACTCGCCTGACTTTGGCCTCCCATACTAACCGTGTCGAGCTCCGTATATCCAGAAATGGCTGATACGACAACTCCTTTGTCCCTAGGGTGTCGATATTGTGGTACAATCTACCAGAGGAGGCATTTCCAGTTTTACTAAGATTAGGCAGATCGACCAAGAAGGAAAATCCGTCTCTGCCTAGCCAATGACATAACACCTTGACAGCCTACGGCCATGTTGTCGATATGCCTGCTAGTGCGGAGCGGCAACGTGTGCCTATACATCGTTTTTCCATAATTTACATAACTTTAGCGTCCGTAGGTTGGTAACGACTACTTTCTCCAATGGACACGCTCGGCGGAACAGTCGCTGGTGATCCTCTTTGGTATGGACTACGGCCATCCATAGACGTCGAAGGTTTCTTAAGGGTGGCGTTCAAATATATGCAGTATGTTAACAGTAGTATTGCACAGCCAGAGCGCCATAAGGTAAGGAAACTGCGCTAGCACTAGCTTTCACTAATAAAGTAATCAAATTGTCCAGTATGCTAGTTGGTTGTCAATTGACGAAATGTCATCAAAAACACAAAACGTTATCGGAAGTTTATAACATTACTACTTAAAAACAATGTAACAGTCACAATGATTTAATATCCCAGTTTAAAGGCTTTTTCAGATTTAAAATCGCTGATTACCCGAACACAACGGTCAACCGTACAAAGAAGTTACTCTTGACCTTTTTTGTTCAGAATGTAAAGAACATTAAAATTCTGTGTACGCATTAAAAAAATTTTTGTTGTAATTTATTTAAACGAATATACGCCTGCATACCGCCCGCCAAACTTTTCGGTTATTTTACAATGTTAAAAATTACAACAAACGTGATTATGGAAAGAAAATGGGTCTGAAAATATTTCCTATGAATTTGAAGTTTTTGTATCGTCTAAATATAATTTTGAAATATTGATATTATCGGAAGTATGAATGAAAAATTAAGTTTAAATAACATTATTTTGGTACGCCTATGCTCGGTTCCTCATTTTGTGTTATAGCCATGGATGTTATAATAAGTGCATAGTTATTCCTTTTAAATAGCATTATGTATAATCGATTAGTGGTCAGAATCCTCGGAATTTCCTATAGAAATGATTGTACTGCAAATAGGTACTGCCTTTCGAGTACCACTTTATTTCCTTAGTATTTAGCGAGAAATGTCTGGTATTGCCTACTTAGTACTTTGTTTCTTCCGTGTTTAAAGAAAAATGTCTGGACTTATAGTTTTTGTTGATGTAACTTGAAATAATACAACTAAAAGCGACCACTGCGAGAGTTTTTAGCAGCTATCTATTGGAACTGTGAAGATCTATGTTCGCGTTTGATAGATCAGTCACCATTGTGGCCGCTAGAGGCTGGAGATTCTGGCGATAGATGGTATGGTCCACCCTCCATTAAACAACTAAACATGCTGGATTTGTCCGTCCGACAACAGAAAGTCAACCACGAGGCTATTTTGTGCTTTTTGGCAACTCATCAGCATGGTCTAGGTCCAGACCTACGAAGACAACGAACAAAAACATCGAACCATCCTTTATCCGAGGTATTCTTTGTTTATCTACTATGCTTCCTTTTATTTGATTATAATGTTTTCTGGTTCGTTATGAGTTCCTTTCGTCTACATTTAGACGTAAACAATGAATTACAAAGAAGATATATACATGTAGAAATTCATAAAGCTTTGGGTATGTAGTACTTAATTAAATATTTCTATTACGATCCTCCGTGGTTGCGAACGAATTACATTATGTAGGTACTCTAGAGTACTCTCAACTGAAGATATCAAAAAATTGTTTTCGGGGTTGCAGACACGCAGGATTTTTTTAAAATGTTCGTCAATAGTATGTCTGTCAGCTTTGGAGTTCCAAGATTCGGACATTCCATTTTTGTGACCCGTGTCCGTAAGTCAATGAAACTCGGTACACTGGGACAATTTGGGACGGTGATTACGAATATTCTCAGGCCCACTGGCGAGGATGTATTATAATCACGAAACATTTCTAAAATGAGATCTTATTTTTTGGACATGTATGTCAGGAAAAAACAGGCCTCTCATTTCTGTCTGTCTGTCTGTCGGTCTGTATGACGGTCTATCTATCGGTTTGTCTGCCGGTCTGTCTGTCGGTCTGTCTGACCGTCTGTCTGACAGTCTGTGTGTAGGTCTGTCTGTCTGTTGGTCTCTCTGACATTATGCCTGCCCGCTAACCCTTGGACCGTCTATAATTTGGAGAGTTCGCCCAGGTTCAGATGAACTTTTCGCACAAGGTTACTACTGTACAAGGACGAAAAAGCTTTGTAGTTTTTGGAAATCGAATCTGTGGCTGCTGAGCTATAGAGAAAAAGCGAAAGAAAAATCAAAATCGCTCAAACTTTGTTTTCTTTTTCCAGAAAATTCTTGAAAAGGTTCCTCGGAACTTTATTTTGGAATATTTGAATAATTCCGATGTTCGAATTGTTCGAACTGTCCCATAGTTGACAACCATACAGCCACACAGTTTATAATCTCTAAATAGATCATCATTTTGTTATGGAAGGATAATTTTGAAGATCTTCCTAATAATCATTGATATTGCTGGTAGCGGTGGTTCAGTTCTTCTCTATCTTTGTTTTTCTTGATATGCTGCTTTCACTTGAGCCTGGCATCAAGGGTAATACCTAAATATTTACCGTTTTGCAAAAGTGGTAAGTTGGTGTCATTAGCACTTATTTGAGGAGGACTCGTCGATCTTCGGTTCGTAAAGAAGACGTGGATGGATTTAAATTTATTCATTCTCATTTTATGCCTCTGGGTCAATTTCACTAAATTATTGAGACCAGTCTTCACTAACAGATTGGACTTTTTCGACGAATGCTGTATAGCCTATATAGGAGTATTTGATGTATAAATAAGATAGAGTAGACCCTCCCTCTTTTTTTGTTTTGATCCTACACATATGAGGGACAATTTGTGATACATGGAATACCAGAATGGCAATGCGAACTGGCATACAGTTCTAACAGTCACCTTGATGTTTTCACTTTCGCAGTGACAGGTTCTTTTAATACATGGCACTTTGTGCTGTCTTATTTTATAAACCTTATACTTATCAGGTCATCGTTGGTTGTCAGAGTGGTCCGTGGGACCTTAGCTCTTGAGTCACAGTGTCAGTTTGTAAGTCTGTCAGGTCTGGTAACCCAGAAACCAGACAATTTTAAGGGAAAACGGGAAGGAAAGGAGAGGACGAACGAGAGGACGAACGAGAGCAAAGAGGAAGAAGAGAATCTTTTAGGATAGGCAGCGTTTA